TTGGAAGATCTGGGTTCCCATCTCAGCTCCCTGTGAACCAGTCATGTTATCTTGATCCAGTTGGCCATTCCCTCATTCCACAATCTCTCTGGCTTTGGCCTCAACTTCCTCATCTGTAAAATGAGAGAGCTAAATTCTATGATCTCTTCTGCCTCTCACAGTTCTTCCCTGAAAGAATTATAGAAGCCTCACAATTACTCCCTGCTCATTTGGAAACTGCATCCTCTGTTATATAGCAGTTCCCATTGTCTTGCTGGCAGCTGAGGAGGAGGAAGAGAATGCATTTCAAGCATCTTCCTAGAGCTTGGTTTAAAGATAACTCACCATGGAGAAAGCATGACCATGCAACTTTTTCCAAAGATCACCACACCCTCACACTAAGGGCTGTCATACTCGTGCTCTCAACATGAGTGGGTGGGCAATGCTTATCACCACAACTTTATGGATGACTGTGTTAGAGAGACTGCAGGATATGCCTCAATTGCCCAGAGCTTAACCCAGGTCAGCCTCTGGAGTCTTTCCCTTTACCATATGGGTTTGGCATAACAAATCAAAACCCCATAGAGAAATCCCTTCAGCTTCCAATCATTTGGACTCAACCCCTGCTTCACTGCAACCTATGCTCATCACCAACAATAACATTTTGACAAAACATAAAACTTAAAAAAAGAGGTGTAAATTTGTTTCTCCACAGCCTTCTTCATGGGTTGAACCTGTTTCAAGGAAATTTTGGGCTTTGTATACAATCTTGGGTATGACTAGGACCAAAAAGAAGGCTCAGTGGGAATATGGTGACAAGGATGATGGGCTGTGGAGAGCCTCTCCCTCCGATGCATATCTGCAGTTGGGTTTGCCTGTTCCAGAGGTCAGGTCTATGCCTCCAACCATCCAATGGTCCTTATTCAGTGTACAAATCATTCTTGAGCTCTCAGTGTGTACTAAGCCTTGTTGAAGAGACAATATTGAATCAGAATGGGGGGGGCACTCTGGAGTTCAACTGCCTTTGTCCTAATCTTGTTTTACCAGCCGTGTGACAAGCAAGATACTCATGATATTCACTAAACTTTAGTTTCATCATCAACAAAATGGGGAGAATAAAAATATATACCTCCTAGGATTAACTGAGCTAGTGTCCATAAAACATTGAGCACAGTACTTGGTACTTAGAAAGACTTCAGTAACTGTTAACAAATATCACCATCATCATCACTGAGGGAGAGAGACTTATAAATGTTAATAGAGCAGAAGTATTCTTTGGGGATCCAAAGTAAGGAATGATTAGCTCTGGCCAGGTTAATGGGGCTGACTTCCCAGAGGAAGGGACACTTCTGCTGCCCTGAAGTGAGAGTGGGAGTTTAATAGCTGGAAACTGTAAAAGGGCATTCCAGTTGGATGGATCAGCAATACATCCCTACATGATCTCATCCAGGAGGATGTGATTGCTCATACTTTTAAGAAATAAAGAGCCCCAAGCTCACAATGGGAGCAGACACGGTGGAAGGACAATTAAGCTGCAGCCTGTTCATGGACTTCCTGCTGAACCTAAACAGATTTCTCAGACCAGTGACTCATCAACAGGACAGACTACATGTACCTGTTGTGTAACCCCAGTGCTTCTGGTTTATTTTTATCTTGTTTCTGTAACCCCTCTTTGTTCCATTATTAATACCCAGTGCACTGGGCGAGACAGGCTTAAAGATGTGATCAACCCCTTTTGGGCTTTTTTGTACTTGTTATGTATTTTGTGGCCAAGACCTCTCCACCCTTTCTTTCTTCTTTCTGGGAAAATGTTCTTCTCTGTGACATGGAGTAGCTATTACTTCTCCACTTTGTTCCATAGTCAGCTTGCTGTGGCTATTCAACTGGAATTAGTATTCACTGTCCATTGTGCTAGGCACTTTGAAGGCTTTTTCTCATTTAGTTCTCACAATTGTCTGATGGAGGTATTTCCCATTTTGTGGATGGGACTCAAAGTGGTGAAGTAACCTGGCCATTGTCAGCTAACCTGAATGTGAGGTGCGCTTCTTGTCAACTCTCTTTTATGGCTTTTGCCCTCATCACTGGACAACATGTTCTCAAGACACTGAGGATTGGAAGAGCAACTGTGTGGGGAAGGCAGAGACTATTTCTTCCTTCTCTTACTTTAGAGCTCCTTCAAGCTCACTCAGGTCTGTGGCTGTTGGGTGTCTCATCACAAATGCTGCCAAGATTTCCATTTTTATCTTTTCAAGTCAAGTAGAGAGAAAGCTTAGTTTGCTCCATTGTGACAAGCTTTCACATATCTGAGGATAGTTTAATTACGAATACCCTTATTCTCATCACTTACCAGGGTGTTTTTTGTTTTTTTCAGGCAAAGCAATGCCCATTTGTAAGCCTTGGTGTTAAAGGATGGCAGAGACAAAGAAAAGTAAGTGACCACACTTTCATTTGTGGATGGTTTTCTCAGCTACTGAATAGTGAGAAATACCTGTTGCTGTCATTTTCACTTTTATATTATTTTTTAAAAATTTAAAAAATATATTACCTGCTTCTCCAATTTCCTGTCCTGTGATTTCTGGCATGAACGAAACTTGTGAAGACTCTTAAAGATTAATAAACTGAACTCACTTCAGTGTGAGGAATTAATCCACAGTCCCTGGTCCACATTTCCACTCCTACCAATTCCCACAGTCATAGAGATCCTTCCGCAACTTTCCTTATAAACCGGGAGAAGATTTCCATTATTTAAAAAGCTCTTTTCTCATTAGGAAGCCAACACTGCAATGGCATTTCCCCCTTTCTTCCCCACCTGTCTTGCTTTGACTGGTGGCGGGATTAATTGGGCCATGATCAATCTCCTAAAAGATGGCAAATTGGGAATGGTGGGTGGAAGGAGGAAAGCATGAATATTAATTAGCTAAGATTCCAAACAGAAGCCTTTTAATTATATTAAAATGCACAGGCCTGCAGGCAGTGAGATGGTTCTTGCTGTAAATCTGTCGACAGGCCATTACCTCAGCCATGTCAATGCCTTTTAATGAATGAATATATACATTTCAAGTGGGGGAGAGAAAAATACTTTCCTGTTTATAAATATTAAAAGGAAAACTATCAACGTGAGGTGATATCTATGACAGCTCCTTTCAGGCTGGAGGTGTTTGGGGAAGGCAGGGAAGGCGGTCTCCCTAAACGGCTCATCCCAGGCTGTGAAACTGAAGCCTGTGGCTGATATGGGGACTGATGCAATTAAAAACAGATGACTGCAGCCAGGGTGAGCCAGCGGCTCAACTTCTCTGTAGGTCAATGAGTGAGGCATTTGAGGAAGTTACATTAACTTTTCAGGTCACTTCAGAACCATTCGCTACAGGAAACAGGGAAGTCAGTCAGGGGCTTTTCTTTGCTTCTTGTTAACATGAAGAAAGCATTTAAATATTGAAGGGTGACTGGCCACCATGGGGGAAGGGCCATGAACCGAGAAGTGTTAGAATTCCAGGGCAATAAAGAACTTAAATGGAAGAAAGCAGGTCTCAGTAGATCTAGAGTCGCCTTGAGAAGATCCATGGAAGAGGATGGTAGGGAATATGGAAACACACCAGCAGTGAGAATGGGAAAGTGGGATGAAGGAAAGCTGGTCACAGATGACTTCATAGACTCAAAAGACTTGAACAGAGCTTGGTGACCAAGTAGTCCAACTGCCTTAATTTTAGAGAACTAGAAACTGAGGCCCAGAGGGGAGGGATGACTTTCCCAATCTCAGAGTGCTAGCTAGTAGAGAAATCCTGTTTATTTACTTCCCTACCAACTTACCTACTTAAGTACCCACCTCCTTACCTATCTCCCTACTTAGGTATTTACCTATTCATGTACCACTTCCTTCTATAAAACATTTGAGGCCTCTCCTGACTACCAGTCTGCAGGTTTTCTAAGACTTGTTGCTGCCTTCCTAACTTTAAATAAGAACACATTTGAGGAAACTAGGAGTACCACATAGTATGCACACTTTATACAATCTGAGAATATCCATCTACAGGGTCATAATAGTTCAACCCAAATGCAGAGAATCTGTACGATCTATCCCAGTCTACTGGAATGCCAACAGAAGGGTGCAGTACCTTTGTGGAATTACCCTTGATTTTGAAAAGCTTGACAGGCAAAAAAATAAAAAATAAAGAAACTCATCAGAAGATATCTGAGAACATTCAGGTCTTGAAGTTCGTCATTGGTGACTTTGAAAGGAAGGTAAGCAGAAAATAATTCTTTTGAGCACAATTTTAAAAAATACTATGTATTTGAAATCCAATCAAGAGTACTTAATATTTTGGGGTTTTTTGACTGTGCTGCATGGCATGTGGGATCTTAGTTCCCCGACCAGCAACAAACCCATGCCCCATGCAGTGGAAGCTTGAAGACCAAACCACTGGACAGCCAGGGAATTCCCAAGAGTCCTTATGATTCCGAAAATCTTTATGTGGGATTTTCAAGGATAAATTCAGAAACCATCTGCAAATGGGCACAGTCCTGTACATGTACCTACGTGTGTGGGAGTATGTATGTACAGGGTTGGTGAGGGAGAGTCATAAGTTTGTGCTATCAGTCAGTGGGACAGCATTCCCAGAGTGGACATACAACTCACAAACATCTGGCTTCAGCACAATAGCAACTCAGGAGAGAATGTGAATGGCTTAGCAAAGGATATGTCTTATTGGAAAAGCAACTCAAAGAGTAAGTGAAGAAAGTAATAGGAAAGTATTTCTGCTATATGTTCACATACATTATTCTGGAGAGCAGGGATCAGGAAGTCTCAAAACTTCTTTGAGATTCACTTAGTTTAGCCTCAAGACTATGAAACATAATAATATAACTTACTTGGTAACATTGAGAAGAAGGTAGAGGATACTAAAAGTCACACAACAGTATGATAGATGTTCATTCAGCTCAGTTCAAGGTGGATTCAATCCTTTTTTTTTAATATATATTTTATTTATTTATTTTAGTTGCTCTGGGTCTTAGTTGCGGCTGGCAGGCTCCTTAGCTGTGGCTCGCTGGACCCCCCTGCATTGGAAGGCGGATTCTTAACCACCACGCCACCAGGGAAATCCCGGATTCAATCCTTTTGATGTGCAAGAGAGAGGATTAGGACCTAATGATGCAAAGCAGTATAAGACATAATGCTGCTCTTTTTCAGCCTACTCTTCTGAAGACACATGACCAAGTAACTTTAACACATTGGGTGCAGTAGTGGGGGTGTGCACAGGAAACAAAGGGGTGCACAAGAACAGTGCCGGCCTCACTTGTGGGGTCAGAGTGGCTCTTGGAGAAGATGGAGTCTGAGAATGAGTTGGATGGACCAAGAGAAGGGTGGAGGGAGAGAGGGGGACAGGGAGGGAAAAGGACATGACCTTCAGACCTAATAGCAGCAGCAAAGGTGCACCGTATGCAACACTGTGTGCTTCTTTCCACTATTTTTCTCATTAGAGAAAAACTTATTTTGCTGTTCCTGCTTTCAGATGAAGATCCAGTTTCATCTGAATTAGAAATTTGCTTCTCCATGAGATGTTGATAGGAAAAACTAATGAAACAGAGCATTCAGCAACCCACCATTCACTGTCCCGAGTTGTTCCTGCTTTTCCATCTCGCTGTTTACAAGGTTTGGCTACTGATCATCTCCAGGAAGTGGAAACAACATGAATGCCCGTTACCTGTCTGGATAATGAATTGCAATTCATCAATATAAGTCAAGACAGTAATTTATCACAAACTCCCTGCATTTGCTGATGGCACCTTTTCCTTTTTAATATTCATAACAAGACAGTGAAGCTGAAAGTCAATAGTTGGCTAGAAGCTACAATGGGAAGAAACTCACTGTCCCTTTGGCTGTTATCAAGTGCTCTTCTTCTTGACTGCATTTCTTGTGTAAGGTGAGGGTGGAGCACAGCAGTTTGAATCCAGAAGTGTGGACTGGGGGAAGACTACCTTATCTCTGGCTTAATTTGCTTAATTGGTAACTGTCCTTGGGGCAAGGTTTTAGCAGTTGGTCAGGTCAGAATCTCAGTTGCCTGAAGAGGGGGCAGGAGGAAAGTCATTCTTTTGCAGTGTTAGCAGCTTTAGACTTCTTCTAGGCTGGTGACAAGATGGGAATTAGAAATGTTATGCTCTTCTTCTTCCTTGTCCAATTCTCTCTTCTACATTTTCCCCCCTAGGATTTTTTCTTGCCTTGGGTCCAGACACAAAGCTGATCAGAGACTGTACCATACTGGGGATTTGTTTGGGGGGGTGGTATCTGTGGTTTTTCACCCTCCTAGCTTCCCAAAACCACCAAAAAATTCTGGAACTGCACCAATTCAGTTAAGTTCGGGAACTTGACTCACTGGGAGTCTTTTTAAAGTAGTTCAGGTTCAGGCGGTTCAGGCACGCTTTCAGAGAGCTGAATTGCTGTGCTGAGTTAGATTTGGGGAACTTTCAGTGATATATGACTATCATGAACACTTTGAAGATCCTGTCATCTCTGTGCCAATACTGGATAAGTAGCAGAGACATTTCATAGTTAGCCCCTTATTGAAGATGGCACATGCATATGTCTGATTAAGGTGAACTCATGCTTTTTTGAGTAAGCCAATGAAATAAAACCTTCAAAAGGATACACAATCCCTGTGATAAATGGCCTGGTCAAAAGAGGAAGTGTGGTTGACTGAAAAGCAAGGGAGTTTAGGCAGAAGGAGACTGCTTGGCAGGGAAGGATCCATTCAGTAGATTGGTCCTGCTGCCAGACTCTCCTGTTCTGGTGTCTAAGGCTTAGGGTGCTGGCAATAGAAATAGATGAGTATTTCTCATATAGACTGTCTGCAAGAGGCTGGAAGTAGAGGTATGCTCTGAGATTCAACGTAAGGAAGTACTGTACAGCAGTAGTGTGTGTGTGTGCGTGTGTGTGTGTGTGTGTGTGTGTATGACAGAGTAGCGTGGTGTAGTAGATTAAAGATGACTGCAAATTTTTGTTATTTCTTTTCTTTTCCCCCCACTATTCTTCCCATCAAGAAGTGGAATGTATTTCTCCTCCCTTTAGATTTTACCAATAGAATGTTGCAGGGGTGAGGTTATATAAATTTTGAGATCAGGCCTTAAGAGATCTACAGCTTGTCCTTTCACTTTTCTTGGAACTCACCCACCATGTTGTGAGGAAGCCCAAGAAACTACAGGGTAAGACCCGCTGGAGGGGAATCAAATCCTCCAGCCTCCAGCCCTAACCGAGCTCCCAGCCTACACAGCCAGCACTAACCGCCAGCCATTGTGAATGAGGCCATTTTTGATCTTCCAGGATCCCTAGCGCTCCACCTGCCACCACACGGAGCAGAAAAGATGCTCAGTCAATCCACAGGATCATGAGAAATAATAAGTCGCTGTTTTAAGCCACTAAGTTTTGGGGTGGTGTGTTACACAGTCATAGATAACTAAAACATGTGGAATCTCCACACTTTAGAAAGAATGACTTAACTGGAAAGCACCTTTGGTCAAGAGAGAAGGGGACAGCCTCTGGAAGCAACACCAGTGCTTCCAGGTAGTGCGGGCAGCAGGAAGGCACTCCCATGAGGGAAGCAGGGAAGGAGGAAAAGTGAAGATCACCAAGTGGTGGCAGAGAGTCTTATTCTGGCATACCTGGGCAATGTATCTGAGGAACATCTAGAAAGATTTGGGGAGATTTTGTTGGGAGTGAAAGTGAGATCTATAGATTCTGCAAAGGCATGAACCACAGAATGCCATTATACACAGATTTTTGTGGGCCCTTCTTTTTCCTTGAGATCTGCATAAGATTGTATTGAAGTTGTAATTCCACATCTGTGAAAGACCAAAATGCTCCACAGAACTACTATGAATTTCTAGGGAAATTATTGTCTCCTCATTAGCCCTGGCTGTAAACTCTTGCTTCTTTTATGGGTCATCTAGTGAGATGCTGTTTATGCTGTTTCTGTTTCACATAATATCAACCTAAACACGAAATTCAAGTCACAAAATATCAACCTAAACATTAAATCTTCTCTTAATTATCACCATTTCTACACATAAAAGCAATTTTTTTGTGATTAGTAGATTTTAATAAGGAATTTGGAGATATAAGGGGAGGATTTTAAAGTATAGCAATATAAACTTCAAATTGAACCTGAGACCATCCTCATTCTTAAAAATGTCTTTGCCCCACCACTGGAGAACTTTCACAAGCAATATCACTCCAAGTACTGTCTGAACCTCATTCTATGTCATGGTTCCTCTCTCCCTTCCATCCTTCAGTAGCAAAACAAATTTCTCTCATCTTCTCATATAGAATATCTACCAATCTATTTATTATGCTTAGTGACTCACCCTCCAACCTAAGCCGCTTATCAAGGTATTTACTCAGTAGAGACGGTTGTCCTCTGAGGAGCAATTATGATGTCAGTTGTTATAGTAATAACATTTCACTCTTCCACTTTCTACCCTACTAAAATCACTGCAGTTTCCTGCAAAGGTACCCAGTGTTGGTCTCTCTTTCTCTCGAGTGTTGGCCTCTCTTTCTCTCGAGTGTTGGCTGAAAGGAAAATCAAATGTAATAAACCTGGGCTATACCCAACTCACTGCCTTGCCTCTCCTTCCTTCCTTTTAGAGGGTGGAGATAATGCCCCATTAGGCTCCCTTTAAGGTGTTTCTTTCTTTGTATAAACTCTTCTATGTTGCCTAGGTGAGAAGGGAAGAATTTCTGAATCTACTCTCTGGGTGGGTGCCATATTCAGTTTTGGGGAGACTTTGATGGGAGTGAAAGTGAGGTCTAGAGACTCGACAATAATGAATAGGCATAAACCAGAGAACCCCAACTTATGTGGGGATTTTTGTTATCAGCCTATTAGAGACCCTATTACTCATGACAGTGACATGTCAGAGATGGTGAGTGGTCTGTTTCATTTAGAAATCCATTCACTCATTTAAAAAAATTTTGTCATGACTCTATAGTAGACTCCTAAGGAGGTCAAATATAACTGAGTCATGGAATCTCTTATTGAAAGAGCTTATGATCCGATAGGAGAAATAAAAGAACCATACCTACCCAGTTTGGCAGTGTTGATGTCCTCTTGGAAAAGGGAGCTCTAACTGAATCAGAGCCATAAGGGTTATTTATGGCACAGTCCCTGTGGAATTACATTCCCTCTTTTGTACATTGACAAATGGCTCTCTCTCCCCTCCAAATTCTTTGAAGTTGTGACCTGCTGTGTTCCTTCGGCCCCATTCATACAATCATCTGGCAGTCCTCTGAGGTGACAGTTATGGTTTAGGCCCCTAGGTACGTCTAAGGACTCCCATCAGTCTCTTGCCTGCTGACTTTTACCCCCCCTTTTCTCGTCCATGACCATTTTCCTGAAGAATTTTCAAGCTCTTACAAAACTGCCTTTTGACATCCATCATGTTACTCTTCATGTTTTTCTTTCTAGTACTATCATTTGCAGACATTTTCTCAGTTATCATGGGTCAAAACTGTTGGTCTATAAACATAAAACAAACGGGGGAATTCCCTGGCAGTCTAGCAGTTATGACTTGGTGCTTTCACAGCTATGGCCCGGGTTAAATCCCTGGTTGGGGGAACTAAGATCGCACAAGCCAAGTGGCAAAACAAAGACAAAAACAAAAACACCCCATAAAACAAATGGCAGAGATAGAGGATATGATGGATAAGCCACACGCTCTGCAGAACACACTCAGCTCAGGGTAGCATTGGTAGCACCCTTTCTGGTGGGGAGTGTTTGCACTATGGTGCAATAACACTCAGTGGCCAAGAGTGCAGGCATCAGGCTGTCATGCTAGCTCTCATGAGCTGGTACACAGGTCATGGGAAAGAGAGCTCAAAGTCTAGCACACTTGAATGGATTTTTTTTCTTGAAAATATTTAAAAGAAAATAGCATTATAACCAGTTGACACTATAAAGGAGGGGAGATAATATTAAAATAAATACACAAGGATAGGGTAGTGACCTGAAATACATACAACACATATTATAGAAAACTATTATTTTTGAGGAATAGCTTCCTGGAGGAGGTAGGCTTTTATATGGTATTATCTTCTTTGCAATGAATAATGAGACTATTCACCATGGAGTAAACAAGTTACCTCCAGTAAAGTGTGATTAAGAGAGCAGAAGTATGGTCTCTTCTTTTATTTTATTTTTTTACATCTTTATTGGAGTATAATTGCTT